GTAGTGGGGTAAAACATGCGGCAGTCAGCCTCTGGTGGAGGTACACCCTGGGAAACCCTATGGGAGAGGGCAGGTGGGGTCTGCAGAGGCGAAAGGAGATGAGGGCCCCCCCTATCTGGCCCAAGTGAGGAAAGTATGTGGACCAGGCGCTAGGAGGCACTGCAGGAGACCAGGCCACATTTGGTCCAAGCCAAGGAATCCCAGTTCCCAGACGCCCTGCAGGAAGAAAGGAGTTCTTCTCCTGGCTTTCCCCAGACAGCCCCTTTCCTCCCACCCCACCCCACCCCCGCCCCATGCGTTGCCGGCCGGTATAGGGCGGGGTCCTTCACAGTTCTACCCTGGGCGACACTTGCCACCTCCACCTCCGGGTACCCTGGCGGACCCTGAGACTGGACAGGAACCACAACCCTGAAAGGCATGTGGAGGGGCCAGACTGTTGGAACACCACCGACTCTGGGGTGCAACCCAGCTCCCAGAACCCGTACTCAGGCCCCGCCCTCTCAGGCACCACCCCCTGCCCTATAAGCGCGACCCCCACATTGCCCTCCGCCCCGCTCCACCCGGGCCTCCTCCAGTGGACCCCGCTTGTCCCGCCTCCAGTCCCGCCCAGGCGATTCCGCCCCTCTCCGCCTGGACCCCGCCCCGGGATCCCGGCCACGCCCCTGGATTCGCCCCGGTATTCCGGCCTCGCCCCGCAACCCGGCCCCACCCATCGGCCCCGCCCCCGGTCCGGGACCCCGCTCAGCGGCGCGCACACTCCCCAGTGGGGCCCTGGGAGCCTCCAGGCGGAGAGGCTCCCGCCCACCCTGAGCGCTGCCTCCGCATGGAGGGGCCGCCGCCGCCCCCGGGGTCGGGACCGCTGTCGCCGCCGCTGCAGGGAGGCGGAGCCGCCGCGGTTCCAGAGCCCGGAGCCCGGCAACACCCGGGACACGAGACGGCGGCGCAGCGGTACAGCGCCCGCCTGCTGCAGGCGGGCTACGAGTCCGAGAGGTGACGCCTTTGGGCCAAGCGCTGGGAGCCTCGGGGCGGGCGGCAAAGGGCACGTAGCGGGAAGGGTGGGTGGGCCGGCTGCCTAGGCACCCATGCCTTCTCGCCTCATCTCTAACTTCCTGAAACGGGGTTGCAGACGCCACGCACCGGCTTTGCTTGGGGCTGCCAGGGGGGTACTAGGCAAAGGGCTTGGCGTGGCGTTGCACTGGGAGCCCAGGGCAAAGGACACGGAGCTGGTGGTAAAAACTCTCCCCAAAGCCTTAGCTCTGAGTGGCCCTTCGACGACACCTGGTCCTTGGGTTTCAGTAGCGCTCACTGGAACTCCTGCCCAACTTTAAGGCCTCTTTAGCAGGATCCTCCTGGAACTGCCCCCAGCCCTGCTTGCCGGCGTGGATGTCCAGGGCATCACCTCCTTGGCTTGGTGAGACCACTGCCCCACCTTGCTTAGCCCACCTTAGGGGCTATGGGTCAGAACCCTGCCGGGGACTGTGTGGGAATGAGTCTCTGGAGGAAGGGTGGGGTACTGGCCGCCCCGGGGACAGGCTGCAAGGAGACAGCGGCTAATCTCAGGATTGTATGGCAGCTTGAAACGCAATCTCCTCTGGTCCAGCGGATTTGGACTTCTTTTCCTGCCCATCTGCTGGTGCTCAGCAGCTTGGGGAGGTGACCTGACAGCTGGGCCTGGGTGAGGGTGGGGGTGGGGTCCCTGAGAATGAGGTGCCTCTGCACAAGGGCTGGTGCTTACTTACATAAGAACTTTTACCGGCTTAACTGGCCTCTGGGTAGCCCTGGTCTCTCCTCCCACGGCTGCTTCTCCTGAAATGGCTCGCCCATCTCCTGCCCACTCTACAGTTCCAGCTTCTGTAGTGAGGGCCCGAAAGAGCTGAGGTGCAGCTGGGCACTTGGGGGCTTATAAGCGGCAGTCAGGTATTGGAAAAGTGTGGCCCCAGAGTTCAGGCCAGGGCCATGGGAGAACAGGGTCTTCTCTTGACCCCCACCCAGGCTCAGAAAAGCCAAAAACCAAACCCACTGCCATCAAGTGAATTCTAGTTTTATAGAACAGCAGAACTGTGCCTACACATCAGTATGGGAGCAGCGTCTCATCTGTCTCCCAGAAAGCATTGGTAGGTTTGAACCACCAACCTTGCAGTTAGCAATCCAAATACTTAACCCACAGTGCCACCTGGACCTATGTACAACCTGAGCTCCTGTAATGAGGTGCAGACCTACCAGCTATTCCCCACCAGCTCAGAGCTGTTGGTTCTATGACAAGTCCCGGTTTGGGGGACGGGACTATTGCTTCTGGGCTAGAACTTGGACAAGTTTCTCTCCTATTCAAGCACCACACCCCTTAAAATGTTTTTATGTTCCTTCTAACAGCTTCAGGATCTATGGTAGAGATCTCCTGGTTCCCTGCCAGTACCTCCCTGCCCAGTGGGGTGCTGTTCCCCGAAACCGGAGGAAGGGACCGCAAGGGGCTTAGGCCTGCCCTCATCCGCCAGTGTCCCTAAGTGGCCAGGCCAGGTGGGAAGCCTCAGGGGAATAGGCCTCCTTAGGTTGCAGCCCACTGGTTGCCTGGGTGTCTCCTCCCAGAGGAGGAAGCAGCTAGGGAGGATCAGGAAGAGGGGCAGGGGAGGAAGGCTAGGCCTGGGGTGGGGGTGGTGGAATCAACAGGCTGTGGAGAGGACAACTCAGCCCTCAAAGGAGCCTACAGCTCAGTATCAAAGCAGGAGGGTGGCAGAGGGGGTGGGGGATGCTGTGAGGCCCGGCCACATCCTCTCCTGGGTCTCAGAGCTCCAGTCTTGGGCAGATGACACATTAAGGTCACCTGAGATGACAGATTCAGCTCTGCCCTAGTGCAACCCTAGCCATTCCTGTCTCTAGGGGGCTATGGCCCAGAGCAGGTCCCTTAGGGGACCACAAAGGTTCAGGTACCACCATGCTCTGTCTGCCATGTGACCCAGCCCTAGCTTTATGGCCAGGAAGATGCCCTGGGCAGTTCGGGATGGCCAGGAGCTTCCACTGGCTGCTCTCATAGCTGGGCTCCTTGTGGCAGTGAAAGCCCCAGGCCCCTGGGTGGGTAGATAGGAGTGCTGGGGACTCAGGGAGTCTTCCTAGGTGCTCCTAGCCAGCTAATCCAGCACCCACACTGCAGATACCCCCAGCCCTGTCCCTAGCCAGCTCCCTCCTCTCCCAGGCCTATGAGGGGGGAGAGGACATCTGTAGGCATCCTCTAACACCCAGCCTTACTCCCAGTTCTGTGGGAGTCCTCCCATTTCTCCCCTCTGCACACAGATGGACCGGCCTGTGTTTGCCTGGCAGGGTCCCGGGGGCATCACCGGAGGAGGCTGCCATCCCAGGGAGCCTTGTGGCTTGGAGGCAGAGGCCCTTCTGGTCTGGCTGCCTCCACACCACTAAGAGGTAAACAAGCTCAGCCTCTTGGGGCTCAGGAAGGAGGAGCCAGGGCCACAGGCTGCTGCCATGCCAGGAGGACTGTGCCCCTGGCCTTTCCTCCCACCTCACGAGGAGTCGTAGGGCTCTCTGGGTGGAAGCTGAAACCTAGCATTTGGTCCAGGGCAGTATTAGTGAACCTGGCTACAAAGGGAAGGGTCTCCCCAGTCAGCCCACTCAATCCACTTATGAATCAATTTGCCCCCCAGTCTTACCACCAGTTACAGAGCTGGGTCTTGTTAGGCACATAGGCCACCATACTTCTGCTTGGGGACATTTTCAGAAGTTCCCCAACCTTGCATTGTATGCTCTATGATGCTGTCTTAAATGAAGACCCATTTGACTCTGAAAAGGAGCCCTGGTGACATAGTGGGCTATCTCTTGAGCTAATAACTGCAAGGTCAGTGGCTCAAACCCACCAGTGGCTCTTTAGGAGCTGTCTGCTCCTATTAAAGATTTAAAGTCTTGGAAGCCCCAAAGGGCAGGGCTGCTGTGCCCTGTAGAATTGCTATGAGTCAGAATGGACTCAATGAGTGAGCTTCTCTGGAAGGAGTCCTGGCGGAACGATGGTTAAGTACTTGACAGCTGGCTGATAGGTCAGCCCCATTGGAACTCACTCTGTGGGATAAAGATGAAGCAGTCTGCTCCCATGAAGATTACAGCCTTGGGCACCTTTGGGGGCAGTTCTGTGTCCTTTAGGGTCACTCTAGCCCCCTGAACCCCTGAAGCCACCCATCTCCCCCATCACAGCCATATGTTCCGCACCTGTCAGGGGAAACTAAGCAAAAAATTCCCTGCCATCAAGGAAGTCGGTTCGGACTCATCGGGACCTTATGGGACAGGGTCAAACTGCCCCTGCGGATTTTCAAGGCAGTGCATTTTTTTACTGAAGTGGAAAGCATCATCTTCCCAGCCCCCCCCCCCCTCCCAGAGGCTGGTAGATTCCAACTGCTGACCTGGCAGACAGCAGTGCACCAGGGAAGTTCCCAATAATCGGCAATTGATAGATTGTGGAGTAAGTGAGATCATCTATGAAAATGCTTCGTGAACTGCAGAGGGCTCCAAGGCCACTCAAAGGTCAGCGAGTGCCATTGCTGAGAATGCTCGTCCCCAGAGGTGATGGGGGGTGGGGGGTGGGGAGCCAGGCTGCACTGCTGGAGGGTGCACCCCCAGCCCAGGTGCTTCAGGGGCTGATCCGAGCCCGGGATTCTTTAGTGAAGGGCGGAGGTGGGGGTGGTGGTGGAAGAGGCAATGCCTTGGAGACACCCCTGGGGGTGGGGAGACTCAGGGCGCGCTGCTGCCCCTCACCCCCACTCCAAGGCTGGACCACGAGGGCAGACGGGGCGTGTCCATCCTGGGCCGGCCCCCTCCCCGGCCCGTGGGTCTCAGGGACTGTGCGGTGCGCCCGGCGTGCGCGCGGCAAGGCTGGCGGCCTTTGTGCGTGCGGGAGGGGCGGAGGAGGGCGGCGCCCGGCCCGCCGGCTGCCGCAGCCCCCGCCCCGGCTGGGCCGGCCGGCAGCGGCAGTGGCGGCGTGGCCGCGGCGTCAGCGGCAACAGCAGCAGCAGCAGCAGCAGCAGCAGTAGTAGTAGCGGCGGGGCGGCCCGCGCGGAGGTTTATGTCGGGCCGTGGTGTCTCGCAGCAGCATGGCGGACTACCTGATCAGCGGCGGCACCGGCTACGTGCCCGAGGACGGGCTCACCGCGCAGCAGCTCTTCGCCAACGCAGATGGCCTCACCTACAAGTAAGCGCCGCGGCCCCGGCTGGCCCAGCACGTGCGCGCGCCCCTGGCCGCCCCTCCGATCGCCGCGGGCCGTGGCCGGGCCGAGGGGGGCTGGGCAGGGGAAGGGAGGCGGCTCACGCCGTGAGAGACGTGGCAGATTGACATCGTGGCCAGGCTGTCATGCCCTGTCCTGTCCGGGTCTGCTCCGGCCTTCCCCCTTCCCCTTCCTCGTGGGCATCTGGTTGCAGCCGGGGGCTGAGGGCGACCGGAGGTGGAGGCTGGGGGTGGGGGCAGTTCCGAAGCGTGGGAACTAGAGGTGTGGGCGCAACGGGGAGACTTTTCCCAGACCTTCGTCCAAGGCGCCTGTCCTCCCAGGAAGGCAGTGTAGTTGCTGCTCTGGTACTGCCTTCTGAAGAGGCCCAGGTGGGTGGATGGGATGGCACCCTCTTTTCCCCACCTGTGCCCCTGGCTGCCCACAGGTGGGCACTGGTGTGCCCCTTTGGCAATGAGGGTTCCGTGGCTGCCACCCCACCGGGGACTGGGGAGGAACACTCTGGGCCTTGGCTGCTTGTCCGGCTAGCCGCAAGCGAGCATCAGCCCTCCTGGCTGCAGGCCCGTGCTCATGCCAGGAAGGGGCATCTGAGCCTAGAGTTGATGGGATGCTGGGAATCTTGTGATGCCTGCCAGCCCCTGTCCCAGTCCCAAGCCTGGGGATGCCCAGTCACTCCTGCAGAGCACCTCCTTGCCTCCCTGTAGCTGGATGTAGGCCAGGTTGGGGGGGGCGGGGGGGACACAAACACCTAGAGAGTCACAGGCAGCCCGGCAGAGACCCGTAGACCCCTTGTGAGCCCAAGGCTTCCCCTCCTTTTGGGGGGCCTTTGGTGATGAAGAGAGGTGTGGCTTTGGGATATTTCTGTTAGGAATTTCTTAGAGAAACCCTGAGGGATGCTCCCAGGAGGTCATCTGCCTTAGGGTGGATTAAATTGCCCTTTCCCACCCTTAAGTCAGCTCCTCCCGTGAGGGAGACCTCCTTCCATTCCCTTCACCAGGGGAGCTGAACTGGTGAGGGCACTGGCTGCTGAGTGTGTCTGCCCAATAGGTCAGTTTGATTCTGTCCTGTGGGGTCAAAAAGGACCGGATGGCCCCCCTCCATGGCTATAATTTCAGGCAGGTGGGTGCTGCTGGGCCCCCTGACTCAGTGCTGCAGCTAGACACACTCCCCAGTTGGGGGTTCGAAGGGATGCTGGTGCACGCTGCTGTGGGCAGTACGGCAGGGGCTCCAGTGTCAGCAGAGCAGGGGTCCCAGTGTCTGGCTTTAGTTGTAAGGCTTCCCTTCCCCTCCTCGGCCCACATCTGTTGGCTGCTCCAGTTCAGCTCAGCCCATGTTCCCCAGGTGCCCGCTGTGCCCGCACATGCCTGCACTCAGCCCCTCCTCGCAGTGTGACTTGGCCATGCTGTGCAGCGGGCCACAGAGCCAGCTGGCTTCCCCTCCCCAGGGCTTACTCTTTCCTCCATCAAGAGGGGGAGATTTGCAAGGAAGGGCAGGCTCCATGGCTGCTGTGTGAATTCCACCCTCACATAGAAAGTTCTGTGCCCCTCAGCAAGCCTGAGCCTTGAGGAGTGACTGTGTGGGGCAAGTGGCCTGGGTCCACAGATCCTCTGCTGTCCCTGGTGGAGGAGGAGCGGTAGCCCCTCTGCCTTCACCGCCCCCCCCCACCTTGCAGCCCTCGCTCTTGTTTCTTCCAGTGACTTCCTGATCCTGCCAGGCTACATCGACTTCATAGCTGATGAAGTGGTGAGTGCCCCGTCCTCAGGGGGAGTGGGACAGGTGGGGTTGGGCGGGGCTGGTGAGGGAAGGCATGGGAGGAGGCTGGCTACTTGCTCAAGGGCAGGTGTGTGTGTGGGGGTTGGTGGGTGTGACATTTGTTACTGCCTGAGAAACTTGCTGCGGGCTGTGCCTCGGGGCAGAAGCCACCCTGTGTGTCTTGAGTCAGGGGCTTGGAACAGGGCTGGAGGACCCCCTGACGCGTATGGTTGGGTCTCTTAGAAAAACGGACTTTGACTGTGGCTATCATTCAGAGTAGTACCTTAAAAAGAACTGGATTTTATCTGAAGCCCGGAGCAAGGACCAACTCCACCCACCCACCCAAACTTCTGCCATCTAATTGATTCCAACTCATAGCAACCCTGTAGGACCAGGTAGAACCGTCCCTTGGGTTTCCAAGAGTGTAACTCTTTATGGCAGGAGAAAGCCTCATCTTTCTCTGGAGGACCTAATAGAAGCCAGTGAATTATGGGCACAGTTGCTTACTGAGTCACAAAGTGTAAGATAATGAGCACAAGAGCCTGGAAGGAGCTAGGGTGGGATAGACCATTAACATGCTTGGCTGCTAAGGGGTTAATGGGCCAAGGTCACCTCGAGCCTTTAATACAGCTCCTCATGTTGTGGTGACCCCCCCCCCAACCATAAAATTATTTTCATCACTGCTTCATAACTGTCATTCTGCTACTGTTATGAATCGTCAAGTAAGTATCTGATATGCAAGATGTCTTTTCATTGGTACAAATTGAACATAATGAAAGCATCGTGATTAATCACAAAATAATATGTCATTGTATATTGTGAAATATTTGTTTCTAATGGCAAATCAGTGAAATGTTGTCTTGAAGCATGGTGTAGCTTGGGTGACAGTCTTCATGCCGGGTACTCATCTGTGGGTGTATCTGCATGTGGGCGGACCCGCCTGGAGATAGAGGAACGGTGTCTTGGTTCCTATATTAAACATTTCCCATGGTCTAAGTCGACCCCTGTGAAAGGGTCGTTCAGTCCCCAAAGGGTCTCAACCCACAGGGTGAGAACCTCGGACCCAGAGGCATCAGAAGCTATTTCTGAAGAGTCAGAGGTTGGAAACCTTATGGAGCCTCGTTTCTCGCTGACGTGTGGGGGTGGGGGGTCACTGGGAGTTGGAGCTGACTCCCCACAGCGTCAAGGCTTTGACCATGTGAGGAAACGGAGGACACTGAGTTTTACTCGAAGGACCCTTTCACAGGGGTCACCTGATTCAGAACAGAAGCAAAATGACAGTGATGAAGTAGCAATGAAAATACTGTTATGATTGGGGGAGGGGGGGTCACCACACCATGAGGAACTTTATGAAAGGATCGCGGCACTAGGAAGGTTGAGAACCACTGCTCTACAGGAAGGGCTTAGCAATTAAACCAGTGAACGATGTCCTTTACCAGTCAACCAGACTAGGATAGCCAGACTACAGGACGGTCCTGTTTTTCGGGTGCTTGCCTGGTGTCCGCCTCTAACAGGGTTCTCAACCGCTGTTCTATTGGAAAAACTGAGTTTTTCCTTCTGACAGGTTTCCACTTGATACAGGTTCCTGCTCCGGAAGGTTTTCCTGTGCAGTGAGTTGAGGGTTAAGGCCTGGTGTTGACAGGCACAAATCATTTTAATCAACTATCTTGAAGTCATTGCCTTCTAAAAGGAGCTGGTTTCTTGGCAGCAGCTGTTCTTGGTGACAGTTCCCGTGCCCCTTCTGCACTGGGGACACTCAGCTTGCTCAGCCCCTGTGGCCTGCGTTGCCTCATCCAGTCTGGACGGTCCGGAATGGTGGGCTATTCTGGATGTTGTCCTCATGACAGCAACCGGAAGCCTTCGCAATTGCTGAGCACCCCAACTCTGTGCTGGACTCGGGGGCTGGGTGAGAGGAGGAGAGGGGGGACGCGACACCCCTGCCTGGCTGCCAAGGGCCTCTTGGGCCTGTACGACTCTCTTCTTCTTGGGCTGGTAGAGAAGGGGGGGGGAGGCGGAGGCTTTTAGGCTCTGGGGCCTGAGCCCTGAACAGGTCCTGTGGATGGACTTTAAGGGCTTGCAGGTACCCAAAGAGGATACAGGTGGCGCGCGCGCGCGCGCGCGCACACACACACCACACCACACCACCCAACCCCGACTTAGGACGGATCTCATTCTGACAGAAATCAAATGTAGACCTCCGTCTTTTTCGTTTTCATGGTGGCTGTCTTTTATTAGCGGTTGCTTTAGACGCCTGGCCATTATTTCTCTTAAGGGCAGCGGTTCTCAACCCCTTTGGGGGTCGAACAACCCTTTCACAGGGGTCGCCCAATTCATAACTGTAGCAAAATGACAGTGATGAAGTAGCAATGAAAATGATGTTATGGTTGGGGGGGGGTCACCACAACATAACTATGGAAGGGTCGAGGCATGAGGAAGGTTGAGAGCCACTGCTTTAGGGTCTAGAACATTATATACAAACATACAGATGCATTTTAACATGTATGTGCATGTATTTTAAAATGTGCCCTTAAGAAAATAATAAAGCAGCCGGGACTGGACTACGTTGTAAGTCAGAGGCCTGCCTATATCCCAGAGCCTATCCCTGTGTGTTCTGGGGAGAGGATCTACAGCTATGGCTGTCTGTCAACTCCAACCCAGTCCAGCCCCATGGGGGCTGGGGAGGGCTGTGCCCCATGGGATTTTCCTGGTTGTTTCTTCAGCTATAGATAACCAGGCCTTTCTTCCAAGGCACTTCTGGGTGGGCTTGAGCCCCAAGCCTCTTGATTAGCAGCAGGACACTACCCAGAGCCCCTCAGGTACAGAGGACTACTCCACCCCCATGTGTATTTGTTCCTGGTTTCTCCCCAGAGCGCCAGGTCCTCATTTTTTTGGCCCCTACATCCGGAGAGGCCACCTGGCCTCACTCTCCCCAAGGGAGCCCGAGTGGCCTTCCCCCTCCCCCGCCAGTGACCTTTGTAGAGCCCCCCCTCCTCAAGTCACTCTGTGCCCAGCCTGCCCTTATTTTCCACCCGGGGCCCCAGCGTGCACAGCTCTCTGCGTACCCTCTTTCTCTGTGGTGAGAAAGTCAGTGTGGTATGAGGTGGGGGGTGCCAGCCCCCACTGCTAGTCTCGGGTTCAGTAAGCACAATTGTACGGTTGAGATATATAAATATTATATTAAAGTCATCGAGAGCATGAGCGATAAAAGAGATAGTCAAGCAATGGAGTCAGACACATTTCATGGTAGCATGCTCACCTCAGCCCCACTTGATGATCCACATGGAGAGAGGGGGGAGGGAAGGAGGGCAAGGGAAAGGGAAACAGGGGAGGAGAGGAAGCCAATGAGAGGCTAGGGAGGGAGAGACCAGCGAGAGAGACCTCTATTGCTAACCCAGGCTTATATACCTTTGTGGGGGCGTGCAAGCCCACTAATTACAGGTAAAGACATGCTTCACAGGAAGGGGTTGCACTATAGGTTATACAGCAATGAGAGGGGGTGGTCTAGGGACATACACAATAGGAAGAGGAGGGGTTGGGGGTATACATGTGAGGAGATGGACAAATCCTAGATACAGGATGGCAGCCTAACTTTGGATGTCAGGGCCATTTTGAGCTGTTATCTGGATCTCCATAGGAACCATTAGCAGTAGGGTGTCAACCCACCTATAGGAACCAAGCTAATGGTCCATTGTCCCCAGCAGCAGGGAGCAGGGCCTACTGTGTAGTCTGGCAACTAACTGCCTTCAGGGAGGATGTCTGTAAGCATCTGACCTCCCCCCACAGGTCAATTCCCTTAGAGGGAGCAGGGACTTGCCCTGGCTCCATTCAGGGCCCACCGGGCCTGACCCTCTCACCCTCGACCTGTGGCTGAGGGTGGGGCAGAATTTCACAGGGTGGGGCCTCCGCCCGCAGGACCTGACATCAGCCCTGACAAGGAAGATCACCCTGAAGACGCCCCTCATCTCCTCACCCATGGACACCGTGACCGAGGCGGACATGGCCATCGCAATGGCAGTGAGTGTGGGGGCTAGATGTAGAGGCAGGGGCTGCAGAGGGATGAAGGGCAGGGTGAAGTGGGCTGGGTGGAAGGTGCACCCTGACCATTTCTTGCCCCCCCCCTGCCACCACCCCAGCTGATGGGAGGAATTGGTTTTATCCACCACAACTGTACCCCGGAGTTCCAGGCCAATGAAGTGCGGAAGGTCAAGGCAAGTATAGGGCCTGCACCCAGAGGGAAGATGCTGCCTGGTGGGGGTGCCCCCCACACCAATCTCCCTGTCCCGATCCTTGCTGCCCCTCGCCCCACTGCGAGCCTGGCTGCTGGCTGTAGTCCCCAGCGGCCCCTTCCTGGTCTCCTGCAGAAGTTTGAGCAGGGCTTCATCACGGACCCAGTGGTGCTGAGCCCTGCGCACACCGTGGGCGACGTGCTGGAGGCCAAGAGTCGGCATGGCTTCTCCGGCTTCCCCATCACAGAGACGGGCGCCATGGGCAGCAAGCTGGTGGGCATCGTCACCTCTCGAGACATCGACTTCCTCGCTGAGAAGGACCACACCACCCTCCTCAATGAGGTGCCCGAGGGGGAGGGAGGAGGCAGGCCCCATATACTGGGGGCCTCTGACCAGGGACTGGAGGGGAGGTCTGGCTCCCTTCTCTCTTTCACCTGCCAACCTTCAGGCCAATGTTCCCTGCCCCACAGGTGATGACACCTCGGAATGAGCTGGTGGTGGCGCCGGCAGGGGTGACATTGAAAGAGGCAAATGAGATCCTGCAGCGGAGCAAGAAAGGTGCTGGGAGTGGTGTTGGGCAGGCCCCGTCCCCGGTCCCCAGGGCCTCACCTAGCCTTTAGGGAAATTGGACAGGCCTGGGCTAGAGCATGGTCCCTGAGGACCGACCTTTTCCTGAGTTAGGAAGACCTGTCCTTGACATCAGAGCCCTGGTGGCACAGTGGTTGTGCATAGGGCTGCTATAGACGTGGCTTTCTACTCCCTTAAAGAAGACTGTCCTGGAAATCCACAGGGGCAGTTCTATTTTGCCCTGTGGGTTCAGTAAGAGTCCAAGTTGACTTCATGGCAGCGCGTCCGACTCCTCATCCTCACGGCAGGGTTTCCAAGCCGCACTGCCGTCAAGTTGATTCTGACGGATGGGGACCAGACAGGATAGCGCAGGGTTGCCCATCAGTGGGTTTCCAAGGTTGTACTCTCGGTGGAAGCAGACTGCCACATCTTGCTCCCTCCGATGGGCTGAGCTCTTGGCTAACAGCTAAGCACTTAGTCACCGGACCAGAGGACTCCTTTCCCAAACCAGCAGTCTTGTGACATCTCATCGCGGGAAGGGGTTCTGGGGTCTTAAAAGCCTGAGAAGGGGTGTTTTCTCAACCTCTCAGCTTTACTTACAGGAAGAGTTGTATGTTGGCTGATTTAAGGGCGTGGCAAAGTTCTACAGTGAAGGGCACCTGATTCTCATTGCTATCAGGTCCCTTGGGGTACACTGGGAAACGCTCCCTGATAGTGACCTGGGGGTGGCATGGCACTGGCCATGGGCTCCCCCTGCAGGACAACCTCATGCTTGCGCCCTGACTAGGTGTGTTTGGTCCTTGTGGCCCAAACTCACTGCCAGTAAGTCAATTCTGACTCTTAGGGACCCTGTTGGGCTCACTGGAACTGCCCCGGTGGGTTTCCAAGGCTGTCACCTCCATATGGGAGCAGCGAGCCTCATCTTCCTCCTGCGGAATGACTGGTGTTTTGACCTCTCGGTTAGCTGCCCAGGACATAACCCACTATGCCACCAGGGTCTCTCGATGTAGCCCAGCGGGTTGAACGTAGCCCAGCAGGTTGAAAAGAGGCAGGAAGGTCCCAAGAGCCCTGCTGTCACTGCCATCAAGTCTGCCCTGACTCACAGTGACCATCCAGTACAGGGCAGAACTGCCCCTGTGGCTTCCCGAGACTGCGAATCTTTGAGAGCAAAAGCCTCATGTGGCTGCCTCCACCAGGCCGCTGGTCAAGCCACTGGCCAAAATGTAGTCCACTGCCCTCCAGCGCTCCGTGAGGCTCCCTTAGCCGGGTGGTGGTTTCTTTGCTTCCTGTTCTTGGGAGGAGGTCCTGGCCCCCAGGAGTGTGCCCTCAGTGGGTGCTGTCACCTAGTGGCAGGTCTTGTTACTTCCAGTGGCCCCTGCCAACAAACAGCCCGCCCACCCAGCTACTGGGAGGTCTGGGACAGAGACTCCTGCCCCCTCATCTTCGCTCCTGTTCCCTCGGCAGGGAAGCTGCCTATTGTCAATGACCGAGATGAGCTCGTGGCCATCATTGCCCGCACCGACCTGAAGAAGAACCGGGACTACCCCCTGGCCTCCAAGGACTCCCACAAGCAGCTGCTGTGTGGGGCTGCCGTGGGCACCCGTGAGGATGACAAGTACCGCCTGGACCTGCTCACCCAGGCGGGCACTGACGTCATTGTGCTGGTAGGGCTCCCCCCCCCCCCCCCCCCCCCGGGGATGGCTGTTGGGAGAGCCCTGGGGAGACCTCTCTGCAGAGGAGAGGCTTATGAAGAGCAGGCGTGTCCTGGGCCCATCTAGGCGCCTCCCTCAGCTGGCTGCGCTGGTGTCTGAAGGGCTGCCGCCCCGTGACAGCTCAGACTGAAGGGACCCTCACTCCTTGGCTGACAGCGACAGCCCAGCTCAGGGGCATGGAGAGCCTGCCACTAGCCAGGCACCACGCCAACACCTTGATGAGTTTGAACTCATGTAATCCTCAGCCCCTGGAAAGGGACCGTTTATGGGACAAAGGAACCAAGGTGCAAAGAGGTTGAGGGACTTTCTTTTCAGTTTGTGAGTTTCTGGGACCAGGGCCTGGCAGGAGGACCCACCCTTGGGGTCTCAAGGTTCCTGCAGCAGGAGCTTACCTGTCAGGTTTGTTCAGGGAGCCCCACCAACAAACCCCACGGCCATTCAGACACATAGTGACTCTGGGTAGGAGTTCTGTAATTCCTTAGAGCACACAGCCTCATCTTTCTACCGAGGGGCAGCTGGTGTGTTCGAACCACCAGCCAGTGCCCAACCAGGGCTCCCCCAGTAGCCTCTGAAGCTTAGTCTTTTGGAGAAAGTGGGTCTGAGTCGAGAACCAGCTGTAAGCACTCCAGGGTCTCTTCCCTGAGAAGGAACAGAAAGCCCTGTCCCGGCCATTGTCCTGATTTTGGGGCCCCCTCTGCTGTCCACGCGTCAGCCTCCTGTTCCCTCCTCACAGGACTCCTCCCAGGGGAACTCAGTGTACCAGATAGCCATGGTGCACTACATCAAGCAGAAGTACCCCTACCTCCAGGTGATTGGTGGGAACGGTGAGTCCGGGGCCCCTCGCCGGGCCATGCTTCTCTGCCCCTCAGAACCCTGGGTGCTGACATCACTGTGGCTTGGGGACAAGGCTGGATGGGCATGGGGTTTTGTAGGGGCCCAGGCAGAGTGAGGCATCCTCTGCTTACATGGTATCCAACCTTTCCCCTGCAGTAGTGACGGCAGCTCAGGCCAAGAACCTGATCGACGCAGGTGTGGATGGATTGCGCGTGGGCATGGGCTGTGGCTCCATCTGCATCACTCAGGAAGGTAGGTGCCAGACTCGGAGCTTTCCAGGGACAGTGGACTGGCCCAGGTACAGATCCAGCCCCCTGGGCACCACAGATCAAGGGAGGAGGTGTGGGCAGATGCACCAGCCTGCTGCTTTGTTTCTGGTCCAGGCAGCCCAATGCAGTCGGGAGGCCCCAGGCTTCTTCGAAGTACTGGTGGGAAGTCAGATGGGAAGTGTGGATGAGATCGTTGATAAGGTGTGAATACTTAGGACCAATCCTGAGACAATGGGGTCCTAACTCTGTAAGGTGGTGTGGTGTGGATACTTAATGACCAAATCTGACACAATGGGGTCCTAACTCTGTAAGGTGGTGTGGTGTGGTGTGGTGTAGTGTGGATACTTAATGACCAAGCCTGAGACAATGGGGTCCTAACTCTGTAAGGTGGTGTGGTGTAGTGTGGATACCTAATGACCAAGCCCGAGACAATGGTGTGCTAACTCTGTGAGGTGATGCTGTGGCCCCTGGGGCTGTACCTGGTTCACGTGCCTCGGAAGCAAGGCCTGGCAGTGGAATGATGAAAAACCAGCCACTGGGACCCCTGGGAAGCACAGGTCTAGGTTCACACACGCGGCACTGCCACAAGTTATACCTGATGTGGTGGCAACTAGTTTTACTGTGTGGGAGGGGGCATAGTGGGTTCAGCATTGGGTTGCTGACCACAAGATCAGCAGTTCGAACCCACCAGCTGCTCCATGAGAGGAAGATGAGGCTGTCTGCTCTCGGAAACCTACAGGGGCAGTTCTGTTATCCTATAGGGTCGCTATGAGTCAAAATCGACTTGAAGGCAGTGCTTCTTGTTTTTTGGGTTTTTGATTGTTTTATTTTTTATTTTTTGGCTGGTGGTGGGGTTCCACTCAGCTCTGAGGCCTTTGGGGGTGTGTGTCTTGGCACACAGAGTGGGGAGGGGAGACCCTGACATGTGTCTCTCTGGCTGGAGGGAGGCTAGTGTCTTGAGATGGGGGTGCTGAAGGAGGTGAGTCCCATCTTGTGTGGAGGGTGTGTACCTGTGGCCTCTAGGGAAGGATCCCTGTGCCTGAATACTGAGTCACCCCCACCCCCACCCCCTGGTCTTGAGAGCCAGAGCCACTGTCTTCCTGTGCGGCCCCCTCCCCTTTGCTGACCTTGGTGGTGGGACAGGCCCCTCCCATCCTCGCCAGCTCCTTGTGGAGCCCCTGCTCTGCCCTCTGGTGGGCCCCCTGCAAGCCTGACTCACACTGCCAGGCCTCAAACCATTCCATGTAGAGATGTAAAGGCTTTAGAGAGACCTGTGGCCTTAGGGATCCTTAAGAGGCCCATAGTTCCCTAACCCCAGCCTCAGATGAATCCTGCTGCCTAGAGCAGGGGAGGCGGGGTCTTGGGGTCGTGCTGTCTTTGAAGGGCACCCTGTCCCCATCAGACTCTCCTAGCAAGCTGCCGTAGGTGGTGTGACCTTTTCCTGGTGGCCTTTGCTGTCATCCACTCACCTTATGAGTGGCTGTGGTGTAAGGTGACCAGATTTTAACATTGGTAAAGCGGGACACCGTTGCTAAGACTCATATCCTGCTGAAATAGCCACATAGTAGCTGAAAAACACATACCCTAGCTTGTCGTGCATTCTTTCCAAAAATTGGGACTGTCCCGTCAAAAGCGGGATGTCTGGTCACCTTACCCTGGTGGCACAGTGGTTATGTGTTGGGCTGTCATCCTCAAGACCCAGCTTGAAGCCGGGAGAAAGAAGGGGCTTTCTGCTCCCATAGCAGTTTCAGTCTCGGAAATCCCAGGGCCAGGTCGACTCTGTCCTGCAGGGTGGCACTGAGTCTGTATATATGTACTGGTCTTAAAAGACTCCCTGGGCACCGGCAGGCGCTCAGCTAATAACAGAACTGATGGCTGGCAGTGGGAGCTCCCTGGGGAGGCAGCCTGGAAGAAAGGTCTGGCAGTCTCCTGCAAACTCAGCCCCCGAAGACCCCGGGGCACAGTTCCACCCTGTCGCCCGGAGGCCGAGTCCACTGTCAGCCCACCCACTGCGGAGGCGGTACACCCGGGAAAGGGCTGACCGGGGCCTGTGGTGCTGTTGACACATCTTTGCCTTGTCCCCCCCTGCTTGTCCCCAGTGATGGCCTGTGGCCGGCCCCAGGGCACGGCCGTGTACAAGGTAGCCGAGTACGCCCGGCGCTTCGGCGTGCCCATCATAGCCGACGGCGGCATCCAGACCGTGGGCCACGTGGTCAAGGCCCTGGCCCTTGGCGCCTCCACAGGTAGGGGGGTTTGGAGTGGAGGGTGGGGAAGGAGGCGGCCCTGGGCTGCTGGCTCTGACCTTCGCCCGCTGCAGTGATGATGGGCTCCCTGCTGGCCGCCACTACCGAAGCTCCTGGAGAGTACTTCTTCTCAGACGGGGTGCGGCTCAAGAAGTACCGGGGCATGGGCTCGCTGGACGCCATGGAGAAGAGCAGCAGTAGCCAGAAGCGTTACTTCAGGTGCTGCCTGGGCCCCAACCCTCGGCCTGCCCTCACCCCCAGCTGGGCGGGAGTAGCCAGCGGGGACCAGCGCTCGGATTTGTGTGCCACAGCTTTGTGTACTGCTGTAGCCCAGGGTACATCCCCTCTGCCCCTGACCATGTGTGTGTGTGTGGGGGGGGGGCTCCCCTGAGCCATGGGCTTTGGCTCAGTGATCCCGATGCTCCCGTAGCGAGGGGGACAAGGTGAAGATTGCGCAGGGCGTGTCCGGCTCCATCCAGGACAAAGGCTCCATCCAGAAGTTCGTGCCCTACCTCATCGCGGGCATCCAACACGGCTGCCAGGACATCGGCGCGCGGAGCCTGTCCGTCCTGCGGTGAGGGCTGGGCACACAGGGCCTTCCTGCTGCTGCCTCTCCCTTCCTCTCCCTCCCCAGGTGGGGTGGGGGGGGCTGACCACTGCTCCACCCCTCCTGGTAGGACATCAGCACAGGGAGCCTGTCCCATGGTGATGTGAGGACCCCAGCAGATAGGCGGCTTCTGGGACCTTCTTGCGGCCTCCTCCCTTCCTCTCCCTCCCCGGGATGGCAGGGGTGGGGAGTGGGGGCGCTGACCACTGTTCACCCCTCCTGCCAGGTCCATGATGTACTCAGGAGAGCTCAAGTTTGAGAAGCGGACCATGTCGGCGCAGATCGAGGGGGGTGTCCACGGCCTGCATTCGTAAGTGGGGTGCCACCGCTGGCTGGGACCTGGCTGGGCAGGTCAAGGGCCCCCCCACCTCATGCAACATGTCCACCAGGGACAGAGGCTACTGCAGATTCCCGCTCTCCCCCTCTCCTGCCTTAAACCTTGATTCAGTCCCTGCGGGCTGGCTTGGAGGTGTGGCCACTACGCAGCCCCACCCGGCTCCTTGGCCCTTGCTTGCTCAGAATCATGGTGGCAGGGGCTGTGGGTGCTGGGTTCTCTCTCATTGGTGGTGGCACTAGGCAGGTGGCAGAGGCTGGGGCCTGGCCCTCAGAGCAGTGAGCTGTAGCCGTAGTGCCAGGCCCAGGGCCTGCCCTGGTCTAGAGGGCCCGTCTCCCCCGCGTGGCGGGCATCTAACCTGTGTCTCTTTCTGCCCCACCCTCCCATAGCTATACCCTTCTGCCGTGTAAGTAACCTCGCTGCCCGGACCAAGTGTAGAGTAGAGCAGGGGCAGTCTGGGTGGGACCCGGGCCAGGGTGGTGGGTAGCGGGCTGGGACGGTGCTCAGTTTGGGGCCTCCTGTTCCCCGGCCCAGCACCATGGCGGGGGATACCAGCAGTGTCCCCCTGTGCAGAGGTGCCCTGACCACAGGCCTGAAGCTGTCTGGTCTGAGACCCAAGCAGTGGGCCGGGGAGGCCCAGAGCTCCGTGTGGGGTCAGCTGAGGCTGGCAGTGCCTTTCTGGGCTGACTCCTTGGGGCACGGAGGCCACTCAGCTCATCGGGGTGCCCCAGTCCTGCTAATAGAGGCCCAGCACCAATTCTGCTGCCCACAGCTCCACCTGGCTTCTGTGGCCTAGGCCTGGGCAGGTGGGGCATGGAAAGGGAGCCGGATCCACATACCCACCACTGCCCCCCATCCCCCATGTCTTGTCCCTGCAGTTATGAGAAGCGGCTGTACTGAAGTCACCAGTGGCAGCAGTGGTGGCCGATGTGGTGGCGAGGGCATGCCCCCCAGCCCTCCTTCACACCCCGCCTCCCTCCATAACTGAGAGGCCCACAGACCTGTGCTACATGTTCCCCAGCTCCTGCAGGGGGAGAGGAGGGGATGGGGCTGTTCCCTGGGCACCCCGGAGCCAGGAATGCTCCTGGGCTAGGCTCCCCCCTACCCATGGAGCCCTCCGTCCAGTTCCCAGCTCGGCTGCCCAGGCTCTCAGGCCTTATGCCTGCCTCAGGTCTCTCACCTCAGCCTGCTCCAGCCAGCTCGCAGCCCGGGCAGGCGGCCCCTCCTGGCTTCCGTAGGGCACCTCCCAGGAAGAAATGGTGCTCTCCTGGCCCTGCCTCTGGCCCGTCTCCGGGCTGCTGCCCCCTCAGGCACTTGGCACTTCTGGGCTCCTGGCCCAGGCCAGGGGGAGGTCTCTGCCCCCTTCCTCTGGTCTCCAGGTTCTCCTGGGCACTGAGCTCAGGCCACCCCCCTACCCAACCTCCACCCAGGGGAGCAGGTTGCCCTGGCCATGGCCGCCTGCCTCCACATCCCGATGTCCCTCTCCTGCCCTCTCCTCTCAGCTGCAGTCGAAGGCTTTAACTTTGCACACTCTGGGCTCCTGTTGGCATCGTTGTATATTGAATCTGAATAAATCAAGCTGGTCCCAATGCTGCTCTACTGTCTTTCTTGTCCCCATCCAGTGGGCCACGGGCCCAGGCCCCATCAGAGCCGGGCTGGGGGAAGGGCCAGGCCCAGTCTCCCCAGGAAGGTGGTGAGGGCCTCTTGGTATTCCCGGGGGTGCTGGCGCAGGTGGGCAGCATGGTGGGAGGCCTCCCAGGCCTGGGCCCACACAGGCATGCCCGCCTGCCGCCAACTAGCCAACAGCTCCTGCAGGCGGGCGGTGTCACTGAGGGGGTCGTCGTGGCTGTAGAAGACGAGCGTGGGGGGCCTCACGGGTGGCTGCCAGAAAGCCCCCAGGGCCGCCTCGTACTGCCGGACGGTGCAGCCGGGACACAGGCGGAAGTAGAGCAGGGCCGTGGCCCTGACAGCGGAGCTCAGGGCACGAGGACCCATCAGCTGAGAGACACCTGAGAAGGAGACAGGGGTGAGGCTCTGTTCATGTTCAGTGTAGGCTCCCTCCCGGCCTCACACCCTTCCCCTGGGGGGACAGCGCTGGCACCCAGGCTGCTGGAGATCCCCCCACCCCCCAAGTTGGGGGTCCTCGGATAAAGCCTTCCTGTGTTGCTCTTGTCACTGAGCAGTGGGCACGTTGTCATTGTGAAGGCAGACGCCACCCCAACAGGCATAAGCAAGGAACGGGGCCTGGAGCCTCCCGTGGGCGGCAGTGAGCAGAGTGGTGGGGAGGCCCTCATCTGGGACCCTGAAGAACTGGGACACCCCACAGCCTACTTCCCACACACCATGCTGATACCACTCTCCCCAGGCCAATCCTTGGTCAGGGGCCAGCAGTCTGTGGACCTTGTCTGAACCGGCCTTTCCTGTGGCAACTCCAGGGCTGAGGAGGGCAGGGCTCGGAGGCGGGGCTGTTGGGTGTGCTCAGAGCTGGTTTAAAATGAGTGAGTCCCTGGGAGGCCAGAAGCCTGTGGCCAGCTGAGCACTTGAGGGAGAAGGAACCAGGATCGGATCCCAGGCTAGTTAGTAAGAGGAGACGGGCTACAGAGAGGCCATGCTCGACCTTGGTCTTGTTAGGTATCGGGTGAGTTTGGCGCTGACTCGTAGCGACCCTGTGTCCAACAGAATGGAGCACTTCTCGGTCTTGACCATCGTTCTGAGCCCCTGTGTCAGTTCACCTCTTGGGGGGTCCTTCGCACTCCTCCAGGAATGGGTGCCTCCCGGTGACATGACTAGGTCAGGCTATCTCACGTCTAAGGAGCGTTCTCCCCAGACAGATTTCGTTGGTTCTTTTGACAGTCCCGGGTTCTGTTCAATATTGCTCACCAGCACCTTAATCCAAATGCATCTTCTTGTCCAGTCTTCCTTAATGTCCAGCTTTCTCCATCTATAGGAGGGGCTGACACCCTGGCTTGAGTCAGACACACCTTAGTCCTCAAAGTGACATCTCTGTTCTAGAACAAGTCAAAGAGGTCTTGTGCAGCAGGTTGGCCCAGTGCAGTGTGTTCTTTGATTTCTTGGTTGCTGCCTTTGTTGTTGATTATACATCCAAGTGAAAGAAAACCCTTGACAACCTTGCCTCTATCGACGTGTTGTCTGTTGATCCAGCTGAGGATTTAGGTTGTCTTGATGTTGGGTTGTTGTACATACGAAAGCGCTCTTCTTTGATCTGCATTGGTAAGGGTGTTGGCACCTTTCCGTTCAGCAAGCAAGTTGTTAATGAGCCTTCTTCCGATCCTGATGCCCTGTTCTTCAGAGTCCTTTGTTCAGAATACAGGTGGCGTACAGCACCAACGTACACCTTTCCTGATTTTAATCCATGCGGGATCCTCCTGTTCCATTCCAACAACAGCCTCTTGGAATGAGTACAAGTTCCACATAGGCACAATGAAGTGTTCTGGAATTTTCCATTCTTGGCTATGTTTGAGTCCACACGGTCCAATGTCTTTGCTAGATGGCAGCAGCTTTCCGGTATTCTCTTTCAATCCAGTTCCATCTGATGGTCCCTGATATTCCTCGTTCTGTGTCCTCTTCTGAATGCAGCTTGAGTTATCTCCTGCATCGCCTTAAATATACCTACACGAAGCAGCTTAACCAGAAATCAGGGTGGGATGAACTAAATCCTTTAGCCAATATCAAGTCTCTGCATCAAGGGCATGAGCTGACTTACAGGGCTCAAACCCACCTGGCTGCCGTTGAGAAAGGCCAGCTGGTCCACTTGGTAGTGATGATAATAGGTAAAAAGCCAATTCACTGCCATCGAGTTAAGTCTGACTCATGACCCTATAGGACCCTATAGGACAAAGTAGAGCTGGCTCTCTGGGTTTCCAAGACTGTAACATTCAGGTGGGGGTTTCAAACCGCTGACCTTATGGTTAGCAGCCCAACATGTAACCTGCTCATCCAGCAGGGCTCTTCCATAGATAAAGCATACCCAAGAACACCTTATGAGGCTGTTCTACTCCCACACAGGGTCCCTCTGAGTTAACAATGGGCTTGACTGCACCCAATAAGACATGGGCTGGTTCAGTTTGTAAGACAGAATACTCATTCCTTGAGGTGTACTTGCGTGATCTGGCAGGTGTTGAGGGAGCACGATGCTCATTTGGGGGTGGTGTCAGAACCACAGGAGTGTGTTAAAATCGCCCAGAGAGAGTAAGTGGTCAGAAGCCTGGGTGGTGGAAGTGGGATGGGGCCTGCACCCTGAGGCTTCCTCCCTGGCGATGGAGGCTGCTCCCAGCAGGAGTTCAGGAGTTCAGGAGCCCTGTTTTAGAGGAAGTCCCTGTACTCAGCTGTGTGACTTCAGAGGTTCTTTTGAGAGCTGGCATTCTGAATTTCCGGACACCCCACGTCCTCCTTGAAAGGATAGGAGACCCCCCCCCACCCCCCAGGAAGGCCACAGCGGGTTATCAGCTGGGACATAGGCAGAGAGGGCAGGTCCCTCGTGTCTGGCCTGAGTGTGAACCCGGCCCCCTTCCCCAACCCCCTGTCACACTCACCCAACGCCATTCGCTCCAGGCTGCCCACCACCAGGCTGTCAAAGATGTGGCCCCGAAGCTGCTGCACCACGCTGCTGTAGCGCCCCAGGTCTCGGCTCATGAGCAGCAGCATCTGAGCGAAGGTGTAGCCCCCCAGGGACAGGGCGTGCACCACCAGCGGGCGACCAGCCATTGTCCCCGGGACCTGCAGCAGCGCCAGCAGCCTGGCCGCGTGGCCCAGGCCCCGGCGCGGGCACAGGAAGTGGCCTAGCGCGCTCTCGGCGACCAGCACGTCGAAGCCGCGTGGCAGATACAACTCCAGGTACTTGGCCTGGGCTGCCGGCCTTGCCCCCAGCCAGGGCAGGAGCAGGAGCAGCGGACGCGGGCCTGGGGAGCTGGGTAGTCCTGGCAGATCGGTCCGGCTGTACAGGCAGGTGGAGTGGGAGAGGCGGGTCACCGTCACATCAGTGGGCAGCAGCGGGGCCACCGACATCGCTGGAGCTCTTTGGGAGACAGAAGGGGAAATGTGGCAGGAGGCTGGGCCTGGAGTTCGGAGGGGCTAGAGCCAAGGCCCCTTTCTGCGCCTGTGATCAGCTGCCAGTCAGGAAGTGGGCAGGCGGCCCAGAGCTGGGGCAGCAGGGTCAGTGACCTCTGGTCTGATTGGGAGGCACTCAACCCTCTCTCTTCCCCTCCGCACTAACGGGAATGGCCCAGGAGGGACCAGCTGTGAGGAGAGGTCTGTGAGCCCAGGAGAAGGGGGCGTGGAGGGTGGAGGGCCAGGAGGAGGACTGCGCCCCCAGCTCCCAGACTCCTCCAGCATTTTGTTCTGTCAGGATCCCTCTGGACTTGCAAAGACACACAAACCTCCCCTTTTTAAGAGCTTGGGGACCCCACCCAAACCCCTAGCTCTCCTGCTTCCATCCAGGAGAGTTTGGGGGCAGGGATCTGATTAGACGGTGTGTGGGGGGTCAAAACTCCAGTCTTTGCAACCTGCTCTCAGCCAGCTGTTAGCCCTGGACCCCAGCCCCAGCCCCCACCCCTGGCCCTGCTCACACCTGTGGTCCTCAGGACTGGCTCCCTTCAGGCGCAGGAGCCTCCGCCATCAGCTGCCTCTTCTCCGGCTTCTTCGTTTACCTTCCGCCTCGGCTCCATAGGGAAGAGAGGCGGGGTCGTCCCCAGGCTCCAATCCTCGCTCTTAATCTCATTGGCGACATGGGTTTCTGGGCTCAGAGCCAGGGTGTCTGGCTCCTGGGTCACCCATGCCCCCAGGCCAGCCAGAACTGAGAAAGTTCCCCTGGGTAACAAAGTCCAGAAGTAGCGGCCCCCTCTAACCCTCCCCCTCGTGCCTCAGTTTCTCTGTGATCGGAGAAAGAGCATCCGTCTGAGCCAACCCAACAGCTTCCCGTCTGCTGAGCCCGCCCCTGCCTCAGATGCTCAGGCTCCACCTCCCGGGGCTGGCCTCAGGGTGGTCAAGGGGTGAGACTTGGGCGGGGGGCGCCCGGCCTCCGCCGCGCCCCCTCCCGCCCAGTGTCTTTCTGCTTCTGCGGTTGCCCCTGGTTCCCTCTGGAGGGAGGCTCCCGGGGGCTCGTCGGACCAGCTACACTCTGGGTGGGTGGGCGGGAAAGCCCTCCCCAGAGCAGGCTGGGAAGGCAGGACCTCGGGCACCCAGCTGGAGGGGAGGAGCGAACCGGGAGGGGGTGTTGCCTGAGGACCGCGCTGTGACCCCACGTCACGCTTTCACCGCCAACGTTAACCTCTTCATCCCCGCTGCTCCCTCCCTGGGTCCGCACGGTGCAGCCCAAGCTTCCCGGAAGCCCACTGGGGACGACCTTCCAAGGAGTCCCGCCCCCTGCCTTCTTGCCCTTTTTTTTTTTTTTTTGCAGTGGGGTGTGTGTGTCAGGACTTTGTTCCCACCGCCCTGGGCGCCCCCTGCCTCCAGCTCCTGTCCCAGCCGCTGGTCTCGGAAACGCCGGGGATTTAGTCTGGGGAGAGGCCGGGGCGGGGAGAGAAGGGGTGGGCCGAGGGGGTGGGCTCCTGCTCCCGCGCCCGGCGCCCGGCTCCGGTCGGGGTGCCTCGGCCGCAGTGTGGCACCGCGTCCAGGAGATGGCGCGAGGGCCCGCGAACCCCGGGCCCCGGGGAGCCCAAAGCGGGCAAGTTTCCTAGGCAACAGGCTGCTTTTCTGAACGCCGGGCAAGAGCAAGCAGGGTTGCCCCCATGCATAGCCATGCATAGGAAGATCTCGCTTCTGGAGGAAAAGGGAGGCGGGGGGGAGGGGCCGCAAGGAGGTAAAAGGATCCAAGTCTCAGAAAGGAGAGAGGTTGGCTGGGCTGCAGGAGAAACGTCTTAAAGACCCCAGGGTTCCAGTGTTCCACCGCCGTTTGTGGCGACTTTGCACCAGTCCACTGTTGGGGGGCATCTGCCCACAATGACCCTACACGGAAGTAATGAGTGTCCCATATCGCGGTAGGGCAAACTGAGACCCAGAGAGACAGGGATGTGCTTGAGTCTCCAGCTGGTAAGAGGCCATCAGTTTGGGACTGGGCCAGCTTGGGTGTGTCCTCTCCATACTACCCCACCTCCTGGGTGTAAATATCCCCCGAGGGCAGCTAGCTCCAATAGGACTAGGGTAAGACTTGTTGGTAGACCAGGAGCAGAGGCAGTGGGTACACAGTGATCAAGACAGACCCAACCTCTTCTGGCTGAGTAATTTTCTTGCTCATCCTGAGTGGGCAGCCCCTCCGGTCAGGGTCTCCAGGACCGTGCTCTGGGGTTTCCCCCTGTCACAGAAGGATCACAGAATCCAAGGGAGACGAGTTAGGAATTCTGGGGACAACTTGAACCCGCCCCCTCCCCCACACCACTGAAAGTTAGGGCTGGAGAAACTTGAAGAAGGGTGGGAAGGGCTGTTTTCTGGGGAGTGGGCAACCAGACAGGACTTGATTTCAGGGTGGCCCAGTGAGGGGTCGACTTCAGCTGGGCTGAGGGGCAGAGATGCAGAGGATTCCGATTCCACTCCAATGTGGAGTTCCTACTCACTCGCTAGGAATGCCTGTTCCCACAACCCCAAAGGTGACAGCCCACGTCCACCCAGCAGCTCCTTGGAAGAGCTGGAAAAGCAGCCACTGCAAGTCCCACGATGCACAGTTCCCCTCGGACACACATTGGGTCACTGTGAATAGAGTCCACTCAATGACCATGGGCTCGGGTTTGGGGTTTTCCTCACTCCTGAAGGATCCTCCCAACCACCCGCCTGCTCTGCGTCTCCACCTGGATACGGAACAAGATGCTCACATTTAATCAGTACAGACTTCGGGCACCCTCGCCCCAGCGCCTGAAGGGTACCTCACCTCAAAACACTGAGAGCCCTTCTTCAAGCTGCTCAGACTAAGCCAGCCAACCCACCCACCTTGAATCCATCAGCAAATCACTGGGCTCTACCCTTAGGACCCATCTCAGCCTGACCACTTCCTCCCACCCCTCACCTAATAGCCCCACCCATGTGGCCATCATCTCAGGCCTGGTCACTGTGAGGGGCTCTGGCTTACCAGCTCTCCACTGTTCCCCCTTCTAGAGTATTCTCAACACAGCAGGCAAGGTGAGCCTTACAATCGAAGAGTCTTTGGTTCCTCTGCTCAGAAGGCTTTAGCAGTTTCCCATTACCCACAAAGAGCAATGCTAAGACTTGCCTGTGGCCTACATGATCCAGCCATCCAGACATCCTGAGGCCTGTCCCCACCCCCCAAGTTGCAACCCTTCCAGTCACACTGGCCCTCATGCTGGTCCTCAAGGGCCCCCCAGTAGTGCCCTCTCCTCCCATAGACACCCCCATGCTCCCTCCCTCACTTCCTGAGACCTTCCCTGCCCACTTTAACCTCTTCATCTCTGTACAAAGTAGTAGACAACTCTCTCTTTCTCTCTCTCTCTCACACACACACACACACACACACACACACACACATCTTCCATGGTGTATTGCAAACACACTCCTTGGTGACATGTACAGCATGCCTGGCTTCATTGTGCTTCACAGATAATGTGACTTTTAAATATATATAGAAATTGGAAGTTTGTGGCCACCCTTTGTCAAGCAAGTCTAACGACACCGCTTTTTCCAATGGCACATGTCCACCTCGCATCTCTGTGACACCTTTCGTTTACCCTCACGATTCTTCAAGGATTCTCCTGATGCAGTTGCGCACTCCAGAGATTGCAGCGTGGTGGAAACATCACTTTCATGGGAAAGCACAATATCCCTGTGACTGGCTTTTCTACCAGGAGTCCTGGTGGCATAGTGGTGATGGTTTGGGCTGCAGGCTACAAGGTTGGCAGTTCAAAACCACCAACTGTTCTGAAGGAGAAAGATGGGGGGTTTCTACTCCCATAAAGAGTTATAGTCTTGGGAGCCCCAAATCCACCAACAGAGTATTTAGTCAGATTAATCCTCTGGCAGATCCCTTCCAGCCATAGGCAAGAGACTCAAACAGCTTTACAATCAGACAGAGATCATTGTGAACCTGAATATGCTGGCACGAGCTTGATACTTGGTCAGTTGACCTCCCTCGTGACCCAACCTGAATTTCTTCTAGGCTCAAGTATTTCTAGCTTGTTCTATGACAAAAACTTCTTCCCTGGCTCTTAAAATACTGATGGCAGTCTTTTCTTTCTTATTTGCTATTTGTATTTTTATCTTTCTATTATTATTTTATCCTTGCCATTTTATTTTGTTTTTTATCGTTTCTGTTGGGTTTCCCAGTTTGTGAAGTGCAGAAGGAGGAGATGCATACAGACAGTAACTGATGCGAGGGTTAACAGGGCTGTGTGGGGCTGGGGGGTGGGAGGTAGAGAGGGTGATGGGGATTTGGGGAGCCAACAATGAATGTGGGATGAGGAAGAAGCCCTAGAACTGATTGTGCTGTGTATACAACTCATTTTAAAGCGATTTAACCATGGACGTGTATGGTATGTGAATACTCTGTCAAGAAAACCGTGAGAAAAAGAATAGAAAGAAACCAGACTTGACCAATAGTTCGCACAGGTGAAGGGAAAGAGTTGTTGTGTTGGGGGCATTGATGGTGGAATGTCAATGGTGGAAGAATAATTTGGATAAGGATATCAAATACGGCTGTACTTGATGAAGAGTATAATCCATAACACTGAATTATACAAGTGGAAATTGTGGATTTGGAGAATGTTTTGTTGTGTATATCTTTGCCACAATTAGAAAAAAATTACATGAATAGCAATGACGACAAAGAGAAAGAAAATGCTCTAGAATTGAATGTGGTGACAACTGTACAACTCTTCTTGATATGATTGAATTATTGAATTGTATGACAGGTAGATGAAGTGCTAATCAAACTGTTAAAAAAGCAAACACACACACAAAAAACCAAGTTACAGTCTCAGACACTCCCGGGTGCAGTTGTACCCTGTCCTGTAGAGTCACCATAAGTCAGCATGGACTCAATGCCAATGGGCGCAGGGTTTGGTTTTGGCTTTACTGTGATCCTCACTTCCTCGCCGTGGTCTGGAAGGAAGCCCACCATCCCTCCTTCCACCTCTTGTACATTGCTTCATCTTCATCTCCTTCAAACACATGCTCACCACCTGATGTCCGTGGCCGGTGCCTCTGGGAAGTGCAAATGGTTCAGTGCTGGACTACTGCCTGAAAAGATTGAAATTGTCAAGGATTTTGTCTTGCTTGGATGCACAATCAATGCTCATGGTAGCAGCAGTCAAGAGATCAAAAGATGCACTGCATTGGGTCAGGCTGCTGCACAAGACCTCCTGAAAGTGTTGAAACGTGAGGATGTTACTTTGAGGGCTAAGATGCACCTGACCCACGCCATGGGATTTGTAATGGCCTCCTGTGCATGTGAAAGTTGGGCATTGAATAAGAAGAGCGAAGAAGAATCTAGATGCTGGCAAAGAATCTTGAAGTGCCGGGGAGCCAAAAGAACAAACAAATGTGTGTGGGACAAGGACAGCCCAAAGCTCCTGGGAAGCGGGGATGGGGAAGCTGCGTCTCACCTACTTTGGACATGTTGTCAGGGGAGACCAGTCCCTGGAGAAGGTTATTGTGTGGTCTGGGTGGACTAGAGAAACAAATTCATAGACACTCAATGGGTATAAGAAAGAGCTTTCTATACAAGAGCAATTGTAGATTGAGAAAAACAGCCCAGCCCAGTCCAGATCAAGTCCAGAAGTCCCATATTAGTCCCTATGTCTGATACCAGTCTATAAGTTCCTCTTCAGACTCACACAACACATGCAATGATGCCAAA